TATATAAAATTTAAATTCTAAAATATTTAGATGTATAATTTATGTACACATATTTGAATTTCCTTTAAACAAAAATGTTTTTTTTCTGAAGAAATTTTCTTATTTATTAAAATAAAATTAATTATGCTACATTAAATCGATTAATTAATAATATATAGATGACAAACGAGACTGATTAAGAAAGTACATTTAATCGCGAACCTTTCAAGAAATTATCGGCATAAAGAAACTGAAAACTTATTCCAATCTTCGATAAGACATGCTCCTACCTTGCTATGCAAACCGTTGCACGTGAGAAAGAATCGTTCAACTGGCTTTTCTATTCAGACTAAAAGAAAAAGGCTTGATCCTCACAGAAATTGAGGTGCAGGTATAGGGAATGACCTGCCCGCGCTTGATTCTATTCGCGTGTATCTCGGGTATCTGTGTTTGTCGTCGGAACAAAGGAGAAAATTGCATGGATATAAGATAAGAAATTTCTCCTACGTTATTCAACCGCCTGTACTCTGCTTATTTTAAACATAATGCGCTTCTATGCATGTTTAACAATGTACACAATAAAAAAAATATTTAAAAAATGACATACATAATAATAGAAAATAAAAAGCATTTTAATATATATATATGTATCTAATTTAAAAAAAAAGTGTAATATATAGTATGTATGTAATGTACGTATAGTTATGTGCTCATCAAATTGTTTAATGTTTTTACATTTTTTTGTATTTTATTACTTGATAAGAATATGCTTACCTATGATCGTATCTCTTGATCGCTTCGCAGTTCAGATATCGATCCCCACGCGAGAAGCCCGAATTTTAGCGCGATTCTTGATTTTCGCGAGTGTCTGCAATTCCGCATTTGCTGCATCAACAGATTACGCCGGCAAGAATTCCGCGATTTTCACGCGGCAAAAGTACGGATCAAAGCATATTTTATCGTTGAAGGACGCTACGGCACCGACGACGACGACGACGACTAGCACGTCACAGACGCGTCGCGACGTCTGACATTCCCGCGTTTGTCGGCGTCGCGGTGCCGCCGTCATGACGACCGCGTATGATGAAGTCCGCGTATGCGCCTTCAAGATGAGTTAAGACGCGTGCGCGAAGAGCTACTTATGCCAACATTATGCAGATACATTAGGTTTTTTTAATATATATAAAGAAATCGTTTGATAAAATCTAAAAAGGAATAATGGAATTAACAGGCGATATTATATATGCGAGCGTTATGCAAATATGTTCGGTTTTTCTGGATATCTAAAATCATTTCGTATGTAAATATAAACAGAAAACGATAAAATTAAAAGGCGCAGTTATATGCGATAACCTTGACATATTTTGCGCAAACAAGTCGGGAAAGAATTTCTTCATTTTGCATTGGGCATAGAGAAATAGTATATACATTCAATTTGACTGTATATATGTACTGGCATATATATATATATATATATATATATATATATATATATATATATATATATATATATAA